TTACAAGGGAAAATTAGTGAAATATCTGTCTAATTTTATATAGTAGAAGAGGTACAAAATATATTTTTTTTATTAGTTAAGGTCTCTCAATATTTTCACAAAAATAATTCAACTCAGAGAAATTTTGTCCGACTCAGAGAAATTTTGAAATTTCTCTAATATGATCACAAAGAAATTTTCCTCGATTCAGAGAAATTTTAGCCCCGGCTCAGAGAAATTTTGAAATTTCTCTGGTATGATCACAGAGAAATTTCAAAATTCTTCTTTGAAATCAGAAAAATTTCTCTGTGAAAATTGAAATTTCTTTCCGTCGGGGTGAAATTTTTCTGAGTCAAGCAAAATTTTTCTGAGTCGAATTTTCTCTGTAGAAATATTGAAGGATCTTAATGTTGTATATCTTTTATTTTATAAAATCTTAATATTAGGGACCTTTAAAAAAAATAATTCCTAATTACAACATGCATGAATATAATAATTATTTCTAGAGTAATACTAGTTGACCCTTATTTGAATATTGCATTAAGATATTTCACATGATATTATATGATATTAACTATATTAGTTAGGGATATGAAATAAACACATAAAATAATATACTCGTTATTCTTAATGTGCTATACATAAAATTATTAACTATTCTTAAGAGTGTAAATGAACTGGATTGTTCGTGAATTAACTCGACTCAGCTCTTTAAGAACTCGACTTATTTAGTAAACGAGTCAAGTTCAAACTCAACAAAAGCTTAGCTTATTAAGTTCTGGTCATTTATCTTTATTTAACTTATATAGTAAATATATTTTATATATATTAAATAATTTATAAATATATATATATATATATATATAAAGAGTGAATATATTATTTATATATTAAATAATATAAACAACAATAAAAAAAATTATCATGCCAAGTCAAGCCGAGCCTCGACTCAACATATTTGCAACCCTACTCACAATGAAGTATGGTCCTCATATTTAGAGGTTGTTTGGAATATTCTAAATAAGTGTATTTTTTGACTTTTTATAAAAAAAATGTGTAGAAAAATAGAGATAAGATATTGATTGATGAGACTCAAAAAAAATAAAAAGATAAAAAGTATTGACTTATTTAATCTTTTCAAACAAGGCCTTATATAAATGTGGGGCCGAACTTTAATATGAGCAGTTGATAACTTAGGGTTGTTTTGGGAAGTTGGTAAAAAGTTAACTTTTGACTTTTTACTAAGTATTTTGACTTTTTTGGAAGTGATTTGGAAAGTTGGTAAAAAGTTGACTTTTTACTTTTTAGTTTAATATTTATTTATGGTGTCAAATCAAATTAAAATGATCAAAATATCCTTATCTAACATAAGAGATTTATTTTTTTATTTTTTTTCCATAGGTCCTAATTTATAATTTTACAGTTACGTTTTTAACACTTGTCAAATGACTTTTTTTTTGGAAAATTTACCCATAAGTCCTAGTTTTTGAAACGTTGAACCATTTAGTCCTAAAAGTTTTCTTATGCTCCATTTAGTCCCATTTAAAACGACATCATTTTGAACGCAAAACAAGCCAAAACGACATCATTTTAACAATTTCAAATCATTTAAACTACTGATTTTGTAACTTTCAAAGATTTTTCTTCCTTCTTTATCTGGTTCTTATTTTATAATTGATTCAGGTATTATGCTGAATCGTTATCTCTTTTGACATGATGGCAGAGGTTACTTTTTATCAGTTTTGATTGGTACAATTAATTTGGTATTATTAAATCAACAATGATTCATCCCACTAAAAATATCACCACTAATAGCACTAATGCATTAAAAAAATAAAAAATAAATAAAAATAAATACAACTCCAAGACCAAAACATCACATCATTAATGACGGGACCCACTGCCACCTAATTAGTGGGAGCACTAATTAGTGCTCCCAAGCATTTTTCTAATTATATTAACAGTTTTTACAGTTTAGAATTTATGTTTTTTTAATTTTTAATTTTTTAATTATGACATATTTGATTTTGAATTTTAAATCTTATTTTAAATAAGGATAATTGAAAATATTATTACTCAATTTCAAGAGCAAAGTCATTAATTTAATAAAATATAAACTAATTTGACAAAAATAAATGTCAAATTTTTTTTTTGAATTTTTTAAAATTATTTCTATCCACTAAAAATAAAATTATGTACGATTGATAAATCTTTTACGCATTTATTTTTTTTATTTTACTAAATTAATTTTTATTATCTGTTTAGATGATAATCATGTAATAGGTAGTTGTTAGGCTTTTAATATGTAATCAATATATTTAACATATGAAATATTTTTAATTTTGGATTTTTTGATTTAATAGATTGGTTTAATAATGATATCAAAGTTGTAGCTATATTTGATTTTTGAAAAAATAGAAACTAATTTAATGAAAATAAAAACAATCACCCATTACATGATCATCATCTAAACACATAATAAAAATTAATTTGATAAAAATAAATAAATATGTAAAATATTTATCAATTTACATAATTTTATCTTTGGTGGGTAGAAATAAATTTTAAAAATTCAAAAATATTTTTTTGACATTTATTTTTGTCAAATTAGTTTATATTTGATTAAATTGACGAGTTTGCCTTTGAAATTGAGTAATGATATCTTTGATTGTCCTTATTTGAAACAAAGTTTAAAATTCATAATCAAATATGTCATAATTGAAAAGTTAAGTACCAAAATGACAAAGTCCCAAACTATAGGGATTATTAGTGTAACTTTGTCAAAAAGAAAATATGTGCAAAAAATTAACTTAAGCAGCCATTAATAGACATACTACTAACTTATCACATTTTATTTATAAAATAAATAATTTTAGTTTAAAACTATATTTATTGTACATCTTATAAAATAAAATACGATTAGTAAAATGTGTCTATTAATATTCGATCAAACTCAATTTTTACATATATTTTCTTCCCTACAAACCTTTCAGGATCAATAATAGATACAAAACTTGCCAAGTCTTAAAAAGGTATGGAGAATATAGAATTTTGAGTGGAGCTACTATCCAACAAAATGCGGCTCACTTAAACATAGAGTAAATGCAGCATTACTCTTAAACATATGACCATACTTTAATATGACCATATTTGATTTAGGAGTAGTTATGGCCCAACCTTTACTTATTTATTAGTAAGTCCAGCTAATACATAAATAATTATCAGAATGCTAAATTTTTCAACCACATTAATAAAAGTAAAGCTCACATCACAACTACACAAATGAAAACAAAAGTGAATAAGTTACACTAATAAAATATTATGAGTAAATAAATTTAATTAATAGCACTGACTAGTAATTAACGCATATTTTTTTAATTATTTTTCAATGAAAACTTTATTATAGGATAAATTATTCCATACTGTAAGACAAAATAATCTAGCGTGATAGGATAAAAGGTCCCGGATGAGCTATCCAGTTGACAAAATATGAACCAAATAATAATCTGGTTCTGGAATAAAATATTCAATCCCAGCCTCCAAACTGGAGGAGCAAACATGTACTCTTATTTCTTAAACATTAAGGTCTGCAATTAAGACTCGGTCAAAGGCTGAGGTAAGGAATTTTCCATTTCTTTAAAAATTACAGATTGATTGAGTTGTTGATGTATCATTTCTGGTGTAATTTATTGAGGTTTCATATAACAAACACATTTATAATTGCTGCAAAAACAAGATGGTACCAACCTTATCTTCCTCACACCAAACCCATGAAAACTGCAAGCAAATTATTAGTTCTAAGCAATCATTGCTAATATGAATTTTGTTTCTTCTAAAAAATGGGTTGATGTAAATAGAAGAAAATTATAGGGATACTGCTTAACTATTAATAAGTATCAATTTCTCCCTCAACCTTAAAATCATATATTTAAACTTTCAACTATATATAAAATAAAAATGAAAATGTAAAAATGCCTCCTTTTTTGTATGGGTGAAAATTATGCATTTTTATAATTGATGATGATGTCTAAAATTGGTCTGGTTGCTCCAAATGTCTTATCAGTCAAATACTATCTGATGATAAAGTTAGAATAGATTGTTTAGAGAGAAAGTAAAAGAATTATGTTAGAATTTTTTTTTTATCAACTTATCATTTGGATGAAACGTGAAATTATATATATAATTGGTCCTCACATACTCACATGTTAAGGACTAAGGAGTAGTCTTTGATAGTATAAAATTCATTTTATCTGTCGTACTTACTCACATCTTTATACATTGTAAGTTTTAGTTTCAGTACGTAACCGCCATGTGCTTGTGATAGCCATTAGTTTACTTCCTAACATTACCATCCAAATTAGATCATCACAAAGCGCAATGTAAAGTTATTCTAGAGACCATGCTAGACAATGTACCCAACCATACATAGTCCATTTCAATTCATCTACGAGCCCAGTTGGCCGACATGCTACAAGTCACACTTGATCCTAACAAGTTGAGTATTTAACCCCAAGTGATCTTTTAATATCTATTAAGCTCAAGTCTTGTTCAAACGCATGTCATTTGCTTAGCAAGCTAGTCATGGACAACTTAATAATTTTTCATCCGTTACAATTTTTCACATGTGCTTTTTAAAATTAAAATGATAAAATATTAAATAATAATGATAATTAAAAGGATGTTGTTGTAATTAATCCAAATTAAAGTAATTGTAGCACGGCAGTCGGGGATGGTGGTTGAGGTGGCGGCAGGGATAGTTTTGTCCTTAGCCTCCATTGACAGCCACCTTAGCCCAATGTAGATGTACTCTAGTTGCCTATTGAGCCAAACTCACCCTTTGCACTTTATTCTTTTTATGCTTTTTTAATATTTCCATTTATTTTTGCAACCCCTTTTTTCCCATTTCCTTTTCTTGCATTCACATTGTTAGTATCATCAACCTCGCCAACCATTCTCTCTCTCTCTCTCTCTCTCTCTCCTCTATTTGAGTTTGACCCGTTGCCACCTACCGGCAGCTCTCCAATGGCGACCCCACCACTACCACCCTGCAATCTCTAGAGGATCTCATCTCTGTCTCTCTCTCTCTCCCCCTTTTACAAAGCTTAAATAACCTCTTCTCTCCTCTTGTTTCTCTCTTTTTGCTTCTTCTCCTAAACCCTAATTCACACCACTTGGCTAGAGGGACTAAGAAGAAGAAAGAACCCTTTCAAATCTCTTCACCTCTCTCCTCTCTCGCTCTGTCTTTCTCTGTCTGCAGTTTCAGTCTTGTACTTTTATATAGAAACTTTTCTTTCTAGAGAAAGACAAGGAAGAGATTTGAGAAGTCCATTGTTGCATGTAGATCAGAGCTTTACAGATATGGGTACTTTTGGCATACTGTTCTAGAATCTCTCTCTCTCTCTCTCTCTCTCTCTCTCTCTCTCCATTTTGTTGATGGGTTTTCTGTCCTGATCTCATAATTGTTGCTCTTTCTCTCTCACAACTATCACCATCTCTCTTTCTGTTTAGGCCTTCTCTCTCTGATCTTTCATTTTCACTCTTTGTTCAATTAGGTATGGATTCTTGCAACAGTGGTAGTATGCAATCTTCAAGTGGTGGTGATGAAGAGTATGATTCTCGACCCGAGACTCTCTCTCCTTTCTTGAATCCTTCACTCAGCTTCAACTCAATCTCAAACCACCCACCACCACCACAACAACCACCACCACCACATCTCTCTCACCACCACCAAGGCACTTTCTTTGACCCTCAGTCCCAGACCCAAAATCTCAACCCCTTTTCACACTCTCCGCAAAACCCAAATCCAAATAATAATCTATACAATCTTGATGCCGTTTGGTCCAGATCAGATCCCAATTACACTGATCTTGCAAATCTCATTGGCTTATCATCTTCATCATCACCACCACCAACCCAATCTATTCTAGTTTCTCAAAAGGGTCAGTTTCAAAACTCGTCATCATCGTCAATTCCATTACCATCTAACGGTGGTGGTGGTGGTGGGAGAGGTAGTATTACACCGAGGTCCAATCAAACCACCCTAGTCAACAAGAACTCGAGGAAGCGAACCAGAGCTTCCCGGCGAGCACCCACCACCGTACTTGCCACCGACACGTCAAATTTCCGGCAAATGGTGCAAGAATTCACCGGCATCCCCGCGCCACCGTTTCAGGCCTCGCCGTATTCCCGGCTCGACCTCTTCGCCGCCGGCTCCGCCCTCAGGTCTGGTCTTTATCACCCTTTTGTATCGTCCTCTTCATCTCCTTCATTGTTGAACTTGAACCCTATTATGGTTGATTCCATAGCTCATAACAATAGTAGTACTACTATTGCTAATACTACTACTGGCAGTATCGTTACCACCACTGGTGTTACGAATAATTTCGCGTCGGCTTCAAATGGATACCAAGTGCCTCACCAAAACATGCAAAACCCATCAATTCTATCGTTTCAGAATCTCTTACAGTCTCCTCTTAAGTACCCACTAGCCAATGCTTCCGTTTTTGGCTCGAAATCACAGGGAAGTTCAGAAATTCCATCAATTGGTGAATTGGGTATGAGTCGTGAACGTGTCAATAATGCGAATCTTGGTGGGTTTTTGAGCCATGGAAGCTCCGATGGCGGGCAAGCGGGGATCAATGGTAATCTGTCAAGATGGAGAGGTGAAGAAGGAGCATCTAAAGATGGGGGTCAAGAACTCTTGGGTTCTTTTGATGGGAACAATAGTGGTTACTCACAAAATGTTAGTAATAGTACCTATAAGCTCAACTGTTGAGTTATTTCGAAACTTATATCTCAAATGTAAGTTATTCTGAACTTATTTTCCCAACTCAAGTCGTTTCGTGATGTTGTGTTTTGGATTTCAAAAAATCCTGTTTTGAAAATATTGATCCATATGCGTTTGAAAAGTAAGTTTGAGTTTGAGAATTTTGGTTCGGAAAGAAATGAATTGGGTAACAAATAGTCAGCCTCTACATCAGAATTCCAACATGAGCAATGGGTTTGATTTGGAAAATGTTTCCTTAAGCAACGAAGCTGTGTGGTGATGATGATGATTGATAACCAGCCTTGTGTTGTTGTTCTTGTCTTCTTGATTAACAAAACCGAATCACCATTTATTGCTGTTAAGATTCGACATCCATCTTATTTTCATCATGTTACATGTACATAACCTCTTTTCTTCTTTTGTAGTCTTGATTAAACAGCCAGATATAGAATATTACAGATTTTTGGTTCTACACTGTTTTTTTTTTTTTTTTTTTTTTTTGACAATTATTTTTTTGTTTATATTGCATGGTTGGAGGAAAAAATTGATATTAACTTAGCATCTTTAATACTTGAGGATTTTTTTTTTTTTTAAATTCAAATTGGATTCATCTCAGTAGAGTAAAGATCTGAATAAATGCAGTCAATTAAAAAGTAAGTGTATGAATAAAGATAAAAGAAAAATTACCTGAAAGTCTCGTCTCAGGAATAATTACTCCAATCAATTCTATATTTTTTTATTAATCTTATGAGTTCCATTAGTATTGATAATATAACCGTAAGATCCTGTTTTGTATGTTTAATAATTTTTGTTAAACGGCTATATCATTTTTCACCGTGACACTCATTTTTTCTCACTGTAACCCTCACCAAAAACACCAAAAACTCAGCTGATGTGGCACGTGATATGCTCCCCCAGAAGGAAGGGTTCTAAAAAAAATTAGTGTACTTTTTGCCATTGTGACATCCACTTTTTTCATTGTAACACCTATTTTTTTCCACTGTAACATCCAATAAAACCCAACTAATGTTGCATGTGATAGGTGAAATGAAGGGTTTTAAAAATGTTATAGTGTATTTTTTCTAACTGTGACATCCACTTTTTTTTTCCCTTCATTATAACACCTAACAAAACCTAGTTGATGTGGCATGTGGCATGTTCCACGGCAAGGAAGGGTTTTGAGAAGATTAGTGTACTTTTTTCTATTGTAACACCCAACAAGAAGTTGGGAGAGTGTTGATGTGGCATATTTCATCACAAATTCACAATGAATGATTCTAAAATGGTTATAGTATATTTTTTTTCATTATGACACTTATTTTTGCACGTTGTAACACTCAACAAAAGGTTAAATTTGTCATTATACATCCAATAAAATCAAACAGAACATAAGAAAAATCTTGAAACCATCTTAATCACAATTTAGACACTTAAGATTTATTGATCAATCCCCTAAAGATAAAACATAATTACGATTGATCTCAGTTTCGGTGCATTACTTAAGTGTATAACTTGAGTTTCTCTAAAATTGTAAGTTTTTCTCTAAAGTAGTACTTCATTCACAAGAATAATTTTAGGCAATAATGAAATGGCTATTTGTTTGGTCTTTCAACGAAATGATCATTTTTCTAAATTGGTGTAAATTGATGATGATTTTATTTTCAATATAATTTTATTTTTCTTAATTAAATAAACATAAGAAGGAATATTTAGACAGAATGATAATCTCATTCATAGTTCTAAAAACCGACTGATATGTTACGTACCAGCCGGTTCATATTGAAAAAATAAGGCTCAACGACGAATACAGTCTGATATACCACTGAGATTGAAAATCATAGGAGAATTGGCCAAGTTCCAGTACGTATCGGTCTGTAACCGTTACACAAGCCGCAACGGGCCAATACTCACTGGTCCGGACCGGTACGAAAAAAAAAGTTGAAAAACCTATGAAATGATTTTTAAAATTTCATCGCCGCGACACCTGATTCTCAATACGTACCGGCTGATGCTACCGATACTGATACTCCGCAATCAATACTATTATGTCACTCGATACCGTAATTTAGAACCATGATCTCATTCCAGATAACAAAATACAATAGATTTCTCCATTGTTCATACAATACTAGAAGAGTAAATATTATATGGAATATAAGACGGTGAAGGGACAACTTTTTCTTTACCAATTTTGTTTAACCAATTTGATGGTTACAAGGGATTATTACCCATTAGATTTTGAGGGTTTATATGAAAAAGAGGGTATAAATTATCATCATATCTCTCTTGGAAAATCATAATCAATCAGAAAATTAGTGAAAAACAAATGGAAAAAAAGAAAAAGAAAAAAAAGTTAAGAGATGATTATTATCCATGGGATTTTTGGATATTGAGGACCTTTTTGAGAGGATGTATTGACGTGTGACAATCTCTTTTGGAATCATGGTGGCCCCTCGCCAGAGAATAAGCTGGTTTTTAGCAATGATGGTCGTTAATTTCTCTATCTATCATTCTATATTTCACTCAGTTGTTCATCTCAGTCTACATGAACCTACAAAAAAAAAAAGGCTCAGTCCTCAGTGTGAAAGAGAGTGACCTCAGTTTTAATGAAGCAAAAGCAATCTCTATTTCTTCTCTCTCTCTCTCTCTCTCTCTCTCTCTCATGTTGGGTCAATCCCCCCTGAAATTAGAAGCTTTGTCAACCATTCCCTCTCTGAAGAAAGCATACACTAAACAAGACAGATTAAAGCCCACCCTACATGTTTAGTAATCCATAAAAGCATTGCCTTGAGGTTAATATGAAGCATACTAATACACAAGGTCGAAATGAAATATTATTACGAACAGGAAAATTAATCATGTAAATGATAACAACATAAATATAAATGGATAAAATTTTATAGTAGAATTCATTTCTAAAAATCTTGTGCATTCAAATATATATTTTGTGATCAATTTCTATGCTTTTAGACTAATTCTTAAATCATTGAATGATGAAAGGGGTATACATGAATATTTATTTAATGTTGATAAATAAATAAGGGCAAATTACGATGGTCATATTCTTTAATTTTTATATCATTTTGGTCTCTCTAATTTTAATTGGCTCGATTTTAAATTTATAATTTTGTCGCAATTTAGTCCAGTTGATTACAACTGTTAGCATTTTTGTATGAAAAAATACATGCATAAGTGACATGTGTCATATTTTTAAAGATAAAATTTCAAAAATACTAATAATATTATTAATTGAATAAAATTGATACAAAATCTAATTTAATAATCAAAACTGAGTTGATTGAAAATATAAAAACTAAGATGATTTGAAAAATAAAACATAAGAATTACAGATGTAATTTGCCTAATATATAATCATGATGTAATAATTCCTCCTTTTCAAGTTATTGTGTTGTTTGCCCGCATTTAATTGTATTATAACTCATTAAACCCAAACAGTTCCGATTTTCAACAGCTCTAAAAGCAACATTAATGAACCGGCAAGTACAAGAGAAAAAATAAATAAACAAATAAATAAATTAATTAAAAACAAAAAAATACAAAATAAAAGTTAAATTATCACATTAATAATAGAATCTACATGATGTCATGTCATTAGTAGTACATTAGTAGTGTTGAATTAATGGTATAAAGCATTTTTCAAACTCAAAATGATCCCCTTGCTCATTCTTGAGAATCTTTCCTAGAGCAATGGTCTGTTTCATTTACTAATTAACATGATTCATGTCTTATATAAATTTGATATAAAAGTGATCCAACTTATAATTTAAATTAATAATTATTAATTTGGAGTATCGTCTAAATTTGTTTTAGGAGTGTTGAATAATTTCTTTTTATTTCTCCGACGTCATATTGTTGTAAATTCTCTCTGACGCACATGGTATTTGTGTTTGGATCTTAAATAGGAATTTGTTAATATAAATTAAAAAAAAAGGAAGGGAAAATGAATGAATTAAAAATATTTTTTTTATAGATAAGTTACACCATTAGTTTCCTCAGTTTAAATTTAGACAATTTGAATCTCATATTTTTATTTTTCTTGCAATATTGTCTCTCTATCATGTGCCGTTAATATTTTGAACAGAAAAAATACTACGTGCAAAATTAGAGATCAAAGTAGAGGCAATTGTTGTAATATAATCTAAAAAAATTAAAAAGTCACTATCCTATTTAAGTCACATCATCTTATTTAAGTCACATCACATCTCTACCACATCACTTCGAACCCAACCCATACCTAACCCATATTTCATAAAAAGTCAAAAAGTACACTTATTTAATTTATCCCAAACAATCACTAAATTATATCATAGTCCTTATAATTTTATTCAAAATTTCGTTTGACCTCTTTAGTTTTATCCATGATATTTTTCAAATCAAATAACTAATAATAAATGATGAAACAATCACATTGTAACAAAATTATAACGATAATTAAAATTAAATTTTACTTAAATTAAAAGAATTAACGATATAATTTACTTTCTTTCACATTTTTTTTTTCTTCTAAACAATTATTTTATAAATTTATAATTCACTTTGACTATGACATCCATGTGATGAACAGAAATTTCGGAAAAAGGTACAACAGAGAAATAGAGGAGAAGAGCCAATAGAATGGCGAAAATATGCGCTTTTACATTAATGCGTAAGCAATGATGGAATTGAAATGGAAGGTGACGCATACATAACGGGGGAGAAGTTATTTGATACTCTCGGATACGGCCACGTGATATTCTAGATAAAGTATAATTGGTGAAATGAATGAAATTTATAATTTTATATTAAGTAATTAGAAATAATGAATGGACACAGTGTTTTATATTTAGTTAGAAGTATCATCATGTGGTATTCCTGAACCACAAAAATAATTCTGATGGGGTCTTTGAAGAAGATGGCTTGAATCTCAATCCACATGTGGGAGGTAAATTTTAATTTTTAATAACTACATATATAGAGAGAAAGGTAAAGAACAAAAAAATAATAATAATAATTACATTGTAAGACCATCTCCCACCCTGAATTAAATTGGGCATTAAATTTAAAATTTAGTGAAAAAAATATTTTTTCATACTCTAACGGTTTCACTAAATTGATATCAAATCGAGATTTTACCAAACGTTTCACCAAAATGAGGACAGGCTCCGCATTTCATCAAAACACTGTGCATGACCGTTGGGGGAGACCAACCGGTCGACCAGCCGGTTGACCAACCGGTCGACCACCAAAAGGTTCAAACAGTTCCAAAAAAAAGGTCAAACAGTTAGAAAAAAAATAAAAAAAATTTGCCTTACCGGTCGACTTGCCGATTGACCGGCCGGTCGACCACTAAAAGGTTCAAAAAGTTCAAATATATATATATATATATATTTTGGCTTAACCGGTCGACCAACCGGTTATCCTGGTACAGATTTGATAAAAATTTGATGAAAATCAACCGTTGGAGCACTCAGTATCAGATTGAGGAAAAAGTCATTTTTTTACTCAGATTTGATGAAAACTTTGGTTCAGGGTTGGAGATGCTCTAATACCAATAGGAGAAGGATTATTTCTAATTTAAAATTTGGACTAGAAGGGTTGTTTGGGTTTGTGGAATTCATCACGGATTTTGTTTCGATAATACGAAATATTCATTTTGTTAGGCATTTTGTATATTTTATTTACCAAAAAAAAAAAAATTTATTTTTTGCAAGTAGAGACACTCGTGCATTTGCAATATTAGTGGGATGTACCAGTTTATGTATTCTTGGTGGTACTTTGGAAATTTGTTGTATACATGAGAGAAAATATTGCAATTCAACTAGTACATTTTCTATGGAATAAACTTTAAATCTGTTTGGTATCATTTTCATTTTTCTGTTTTCATATTTCGAAAAATATGGAAAACTTTTTTTTATTAAAGAAACACTAAAAAATAGTTTTTAAATTTTCGAAAGCTGTTTTTGCACAAATGAAGGAAACGATGGATGTTTTCAAACTTTTTATTATTATTTTATTCTGAAAACAAGAAAAACAAACCAAACAAAATTAATCTGTTGGGATAAGAACACTTTTTTTTGAGTGAGTGCAGTTAGATTATATCTTTTATCTGATTCTGGATAATTACCTACTAAACAGTGTAATACAATGTGTGACTTCTGCTATTTTATAGCCCAACAGGTTGCCAAAACCATAGGAGGGATATATATCAATGGATTGAGAAACACCTAATTGAAGAGGGAAACATTGAAATAACAGAAAGTAATTTTTTATCTTTTGATCCATAGTTGGGTCAATGATTATATTGAGATGGTGGGTAGCCCAACCTGTGGCTGTGTCTATTGTTTCTTCACTCATTCAATTATCGAATTAAAATATAGAATGTGTCACAAAAATATAATGATTACTGTTTTGAATGTGTATCCCTCTATAACTTGGTTTAATCCCAACCTTCTATTATATTTAGCATACTTTGTTTTTCCAAGGTTCTTAGAGAGGTTTCCTATCAACTCAAAGGTTTTGAGAGAATGAAAAGTAGTGTGAGATTGATTTAAGGAGTGACACAGAGGTCAATGTCATGCAGCAGATAAGAGTTCCTGCTAGAAGACTGTTATTTGAAAAGGCCAAGAAGACTATTTTTAGGGGTTACTTATTACTGGAATGTTAGAGTCAGCTAGTGGGGGCTGTGTTTTCAGAAAAAATGGCATCAGAACCGGTCAATGTGAATGAGTTCCAGGAACTGGCAAGGCGAGCTGTTCCGAAGATGTACTTTGACTTCTACAATGGGGGAGCTGAGGACCAACACACGCTAAGAGAGAACATGGAAGCGTTCCGTAGAATCACGTTAAGTGTTGTTACACCTCTTATTCTTATTAGTGAACAGGGACACCACCTTACGCCAATTTTTATTTATTTTTTATTTTTTTTGGGGATTTTCTCAGTTTTCGGCCAAGAGTTCTTGTAGATGTGAGCAGAATAGATATGTCAACCACTATATTGGGTTACCCAACTTCGGCACCAATCATGATCGCTCCAACTGGATTGCATAAGTTGGCTCATCCTGAAGGTCTAATTTCATTTAGAAGAGCTTTTGAGTGAAATTTATGTGTACTTATGATTTCAGCTTTGAATTTTTTAATTTGTTTAAAAATATTTTTCATCAAATATTATTAAAAAATATTGTTAATTATTAATTTTCGTGATAGTTTAAAAATTTTGTCATAAAAAATATTATACTAATTATAAGTTTTAGTGACAATTTAAAAAAAATCTTCACAAAAAAGTCACTAATTTCCAACTTTCTGTGACAATTTAAAAAATTATTCATAAAAAAGTCTCTAATTGTAAGTTTTAACGACAATTTATGAAAATAATGATAAAAAATAGTTACTAATTATCAATTTTTTGCAACATACGCAAAAAATCGTCAAAAAAAATTATTTTTAACTACAATTTTACTATGACTTATTTTCAATAGGATTTTATGGGAATTAAGACCTCGTTTGGCAAGTGTCCTTTTTAGCTAAAAAGTCAAAAAGTTACTAAAAAAATCAAAAAGTCAACAACCCATACCAAAAAGTCAAAGATTCCCTTTTTTCTTTACTTTTTGTACATCTTTTCGTAAAAAGTCAAAAAGTCATCCCAAACATACTAGTTTTTTTTACATCACATTTTAGCCAAAAAATTAAAAAGTTATTAAAAAAGCCTGTTCCCAAACAAGGCCTAAGTCCAACTATTAGGACTTATTGGTAATTTACTCTAATTTATTTATTAAATAAATAAATGTAATAAAAATAAATTATTTGAAAGTTAAAGAGATGTGTTTTTAATGTTTACTTTTTTATTATTAGTTTTTAACTAATTTGTATCAAACAATCATTTGGCTTTATTTTTATTTTTTTGGGTTCATCTATTTTAATACACTTATAATTATTAAATTATTAAAATTTTCAATATGTGATAGCCTCAATGCATAATGAATGTGGATATTTTAGAATAGGAGAACAAAATTGCCAGCACAGACTGAAGGTTAACATAATATTAGCTTGTTCGGTGCATTTCTTGTAAGTAAAAAACTCATAATCAAAAGCTAAAATTTACAACACCTCTTCTCTTATTTCTTAATAATTAATTTTTTAAACATATTAAAGTTATGTTTACCTTATAAATTATAAATAAAAGTCGAATAAAATATTTTAATATAAATTTTCTAAAAATAAAAAAATATAAAAAAGGGCCCACAAGTTACACCAAAATGGCCCTTAACCAATTAGATAGCATAGGCCAAAATGCATTCCATAGGATGCACCATTTTATGTGTATAAGGATGGCCAAAAGGTGGGCTATTTTGTCTGATGAATGACTAAGATGGTGATTTTAATAGAAGGTGGTGGCTAACAACCAACCAATAAATGAAAAAGATGGGGTTGGCTCTATACATTACATTGTGTGTCTCTATCCTATACCTATTGTTAGGTAACCCACTACGCAAAAGTCCATCCTTGGAAACAACGATTGTGCTACAAAAACTTGCGATTTTAAACACAATTTTTGTTAATAAAATTTTATATAAAATATTGTCACTTTTCATGATCTTCTTCAATATATATATTAGTGTTAATTGCACTTTTCATTATTATATTTTCTTATATACTTCGTTAGATCAGTTTGTGGACTATATAGATGTGTCATATTATAAATTTTCAGATCAATTTAACTCAAATATTATTTTAATCTTTATCGTTTCAATTTAAATAATTTGATCATTATACTTAAATTTAATTTCAATTTGATCCGTCTAAATTTCTGTTAATTTTATTTACGTATAAAACTTAGAAAATTAACAAGTACCTAAAAATTATTAATTTTAATCTCTAATTTGGACGGAATGACTAAATTGAAATTACATTGAAAGTATAGAGATCAAATTGTTCAATTTAAAATTATAGGGACTAAATAAAATTTAAGTTAAAATATAGGGATGAAAAGTGTAATTAACCCTATTTTTTATTATAACTCAAAATTGTAAAAATGTTATACTAATATTATTTTGCACGAGTTTTATGTATAAAAAAAAAATTGAATTTTTTTTATATAAATATTTTATATCATGAAGAATGCTATCTATGATAAAATTGTTTCATTGTAATTTGAACGACATGTATTCAAACCACGTACACACTTTATCCATATGCGGGTTAAGGTTGTATATATGACATTTCTTAATTCTCGCATTAGGGGGAATCTTATGCATTAGAAATTATCTTTATTTCTTAAATAATGGTGTTATGAATGCTCGTCTTTTTATTAGATGCTACTTTTGCTCAGGTTTGTACAAATTGGAGGATACTGTTAAGTATATTATAGAGCTCGTATCGATGATTTGACCTATTCATTTTGTCACATTTTATGTGTAAATTATTCACATAGAAAATTGGATTAATTTGATAATCATAACTATACAACTTCATTATGTGCAGGCACCATGAGGTCCAATTAGACAAACCTCGCCCATTATACATTTTGCTCAATATTATCATTGAACTCTAATTAAATTTTAATTTCAACAACTAAAATTTATTTTTGATAAATTGTTCAAAATTGTTTTTTTTTCATAACTCTGTTTTATTCCACTTTTACCCCTTCTCATAAAAATATGTGTTACATTTTTATAATTATTTTTTATTTATTGAAAAATTAAACAAGTTATATCAAGCAAAAGCTTGGGGGGGGGGGGGATCTGTGACATAAAATTTATTATTTTTCTATCGCTTCACACTTTCCAAATATAATGGACTCACATTAATAAATATACATAAAATAGTTATTAGTGTTTAATAAATAAAAAATATACATTTTTTGTGTCAGTCGGTAAAAGAATATTTTTAAATATGAATAAATTATATCTAAACAATCATAATCCAACAATTATAGAAGTATAACAACTTTCCTATAACAAAGATCTCTCATAATCAAAAATAAATAAATAAACAATACGACGAAGGAACCTAATATATATTATATATAGCTAGCATTTATCATGTTTTATAAGTCAAGTTGAATATACGAAGTTTGATTAGTGTAATTTCTTATAATTAAAATGTTAATATTTGAAAAAGAAAGTTAAAAACATTATTTGTCTCGTTTTTCAATGATAATTATTTTTAACTTATTTTTATTTATTAAATAATAAGTAAAACTTATACTAAATATTCGTACTCAATTTTTTTTTAAAATAAAATAGAAATTCTACAAACAAGTCCATGAATTTCACCAAAGAGCACCGTAGACTATCAATGGACATTCATTGGGATGGATCGGATTTGGACCAAACTTGATTTTGTGTAAACATAAGTCCGGTGTGACCCAACATCGAACTTGGATACCTATTTTTGTGTTAATTAATGTCGGTGCATGTGGTCTTGACCAAGTACTTGCCCATGGTATGTGTTGAACTGATGAATGGTATACACCAAAGGAGAGTAGTAATCTTTTGACTTTTCTTCTTGAATGGCTTTGATTGTATGTACAAAAACAAGAAAAAATTATTCGGTGATTGGGATATCCTGATCATATTACAACTCATTTATTAAATAATAAAAAAATCATCACTCATATTATTTCTTTTCAAATGATTCAAATAAAATGATGGATCTCACTATATATCAATAATAATATTTTTGTAAGATTTGATTATGCCAAATGAACATAGAATGAAAGTATGACTCTAAACTTTTAATTGCCTTGGAATGGTACTCCTTAAAATTGATGGTCACGAGGGAGAGAGTATTTTATATAAGGCAGTGGCTTTGGTCCAGTTTAAGATCGGACTAAATCGTATTGTTGGGTCTGTGGAAGTTCATCATGGGTCTCGTTTTGATAATCCGAACCGTTCAATATGTAGAACTTGTCGAGTACTATATATCCGAAAAAAATCACGTTGATCGGATATCGATAGCTATGTGAACAAAACAGTTTTTTATCAATTGTTAATTGTTTCACCGTCCATTTTTTTTTATACAAAACTGATTTGATCACATAGCTATTGATATCCGATCAACGTGATTTTATACAGGCATGTAGAACTCGACGAGTTATACACATTAAACGGTTTGGATTATCAAAACAGACCCAAAATGGGTCCATGGGCCGAACTGAACGAGTCCAGTCTTGATCTCAACTTGAGACAAGCTGGACCCTTTATATAACATGTATTCTTATTTTTATTTTTTCTATTTCTAAGATGGTGTATATCACAAGTATCTTATGTGATCAAATCAATATAATGTATTCTTTCACTTATTTTTTGTCATAAGATAAAAAGTGAAATCAAATTTTGATGTTGATAATCCGAACCGTTCAATATGTAGAACTTGTCGAGTACTATATATCCGAAAAAAATCACGTTGATCGGATATCGATAGCTATGTGAACAAAACAGTTTTTTATCAATTGTTAATTGTTTCACCGTCCATTTTTTTTTATACAAAACTGATTTGATCACATAGCTATTGATATCCGATCAACGTGATTTTATACAGGCATGTAGAACTCGACGAGTTATACACATTAAACGGATTGGATTATCAAAACAGACCCAAAATGGGTTCATGGGCCGAACTGAACGGGTTCAGTCTTGATCTCAACTTGAGACAAGCTGGACCCTTTATATAACATGTATTTTTATTTTTATTTTTTCTATTTCTAAGATGGTGTATGTCACAAGTATCTTATGTGATCAAATCAATATAATGTATTCTTTCACTTATTTTTTGTCATAAGATAAAAAGTGAAATCAAATTTTAATGTGACTAAATACTTACATTTAATTAAGTATAAAGTGAGTTATCGAGTCTCACATTTATCACATAATAATGGAAAAGTTAGATCAATTAAACGTTTAAAAAACAAAGAGAGAACAACTTTCACTTTTTAATCTCATCTTTTATTCCACAAAATGTGGTGGTTTCGAATTTTTTTTCTTTTCTTTTTTTCTTTTTTTGTGTGCGCGCGTGCGTGTAATAGCAAAGAAAGTGAATGTGAGATCATTGATATCACCAAAGGTAAAGTAGAAGGCGATGCTCTTAGAAAATATATTTTGGTAGAGTTTCATG